AGTTGCCCGAGTCAAGCGCCGTTAGCCCACTTCCACGTGGAGTCTGAGATGCGAGCTGATGTTTGGCCCTTAGCGCCCTCATCCACTGTGGCTTCAGGCTATTGTCAGAGTCAATGTCGCGATGCTGCTCTTTTCAGTCTGCTGGTCCTAGCAGACGAAAGCCCTTTTCGATATTGCGAATTCTTGGCTTGCGTTCGGACGAGAGATCTGCCGGGCTGCGCAGTGGGCCAGCACGCTTTTTCTTCTCTTATTTCCTTTTCGCCCCCGTCGCAGGTGAGTGGTCCCTCTTCCGAATGATCGTTGCTGCAGCCACAGGAGAACCCAAATGAAGGTGTCTACCCAAGAAATAAAGGGGGCACAGCGATCTCCTGCAGGCCACAACTCTCCTGTCGCAAGCGTTTCCCTCTTGTCGGTTCCGATCGCCCAGAACCAGGATCTAGAACCCGGCGGGCAGAAGGTAACAGCCAAGGCTAGCGTGACACTCGGGGTAGGCTCAGCCTCTTCCGCGAACCTGCCACCCTCCCTCCAGTGGATTATAGCGCCGGGACTGTAGCCTCCCGTGCCTTTTGGCCACGATGATCACGGTGCTTACGTTCTGTGGCAAGTTCGCAACCGCTGGGTCGAAGCGGGAGTTTGCATGATCTCAGACGCTCATACGGGCGTAACCTTGCCGGGCTATTTGCAGTTGTGCTTGCGACACACCAATAGATCTGGTCTTTCTACGGCCTGGGTCGTCTCCCAGCTAGTCTGGGCTCTTCTTTAGCCGGCCGAACGCGATCAGCATTGAATCGTAGGTTATCGAATAAGCTGATTCGATAGTGCATTGCCCAGCTGCACCTGGGAAATTTCGGTGGATTTGGAGGTTGCCCAGGTTTTCGGACTCCTGTGCCATTTTGGGTAAAGCACCACGGCCGCTAAAAAAACCGCCATTAGAGTCAATCGAGGCGACGACACATCCCTAAGTTAACCTCCACTCAACCCTTGGGGGCGGCGACAGAGTCTGCATGGAGAATTGGCAATGAGGAATCCCATGTGTGTAATCTCTCAAAATGGTACACCTACAAAATGGCAGTCTACGTTCTCGACCAGGCCCGGCCTGCGTATTGCCAGCAGCTATTTTGGCGTGTGCATCCGCGCCTTCAGCGACCTGGAACGGGAATGCCAAATCAACAGCGAATGTAATGGGAACGAGGACGAACGACGGGTTCCCACCCTATCAAAGCCGCTGCGTTACTATCAGCTATTTAGTAGTTATCTCTGATGCCGCCGCTTTGTAATGATCGGTGAAATCCGACGCGTTTCTCTCTCAAGAGACTGTTGCGCCTCCGAAGCTTGTGAGAACAGGGAGGCCAAAAGGGCGCTTGTGGCAACGTGGAAAAGACCAGCGGCCTGCTCCATAGGCTCCCGGCGACGCCCTGGAACGACGAATACACGCACGCCCTCGTGCGTCTCATCTGTCATGTTCAAATGCAGCCTTGAACGTCACGACCAGATGGGAGTGTCTCGTACCGAACGGCGCTGATTGGCTTCACTGGCGTTTTGATAGCCGAGCGCCGATGCGCCAACCTCTGTCGTGCTGCCCCAGCCGTTCGGCCTCGGCGGAGACGGGACAAGGAGCAGGGAAGCTATTTCGAGGCTTCCATCATCAAGAAATATTGAGAGCCGGTGAAGAGGATTCAGTGTCACTGGTACCGAGCAGCGGAGATGAGGAAGGGGTGTGTGGCTTGGATGTACTACAGGCGCATCATTAATTTTCAGACGTTGAGGAGATCCTCGTTATGAACCCAATGAAAACATGTATTGGTACTTAACACTTGTACATAAACAGTATTACTGGCTTCTTTTTTTGATGACGGCCATAAAAACCTACCTTGCGTTGTGACCTCATCGCGTGTCACGGTCCAGGAGGTGTGACCCGAAGATGGCCGCAATTATACCTTCGCCCCAGCATGTTCGACGTCTGGGTGGTCCTACTAGTATGGAGTATGGCATAAGATTGTCAGCAAGTAGTTATCGCATGGGGTATCTCGTCGCCCATTTATTTAGTCCGGTCCCAGTCAAAAGTCACGATGTAGCAGGTGATTAAGGCCAAGGGGGCTTGAAGTCATCTCATCCGCAGCGTTTCCCGGACGATGTCGTTGGGTGAAAGATAATACATACTCAAAGTAAAAGCTGCTTGCGCATGCCGTGGCTTTCCAGCTTGTTCTTTTATTGGACCTTCATGTCTTCCACCAGCGAGAGTAAAAAGTGTAGGGGGGCAATCGCCATGCGCATGGGCAGTGAGGTTTCAGTCACGGCCTACCCACTCATGCAGACTCCATCATCAATCTTTACAGTTGATGTCTGGATGGATCCGGCACTGGTGCTCGCTTGTTGATTAGACCAGATGAGCTGTAATGACATAGCCTGGTTGTAGTTCATCGCAGGCCAGCCTGGAATTACACCCACGTGCTTCAGAGCGTAGCCGATTTATTTATCAAAATGCACTGATGCGCAATGTACCGCTCCAACCGTAGGTATAGGCCTTCCTTAGGACTAATGACTACGGCGTTACGTTTCGACTCGTGGCTGCTGGTACCGAACCATGCGTTTACCAAAAGTAAAGGCAGTCTTGTCGTATGTCATGTCTTCAGACCCTTCTGCAGGCTAAAATGAGCTACACGCAGTGAGGTAAGATGCTCGAGTCAGAAGAAAGTCGCCTTAGTGATCTGATAAAGAGCAGGTTCCTAGGAAGTTCACATACAAAATGACAATAGCCGCAATTGCGATGGGATACGAGAGTCGCCGATGGGGCTCATACTATATTATATTGCTGTGGAAACGTCTTCAGGAGGCCACTAGTATACAGCATACCTTATAGCACAATCAGTTGAAGACTAGCTATTGACCTTTCTGACGGCTACACATGATAGATCACTAGAAGTCAAGAGATATAACGCAAGCATGCTCGCGAACATGTTCTCGCCACCTGCCAAAATATATCCCTACTGGAGTGACCAAGGGCATTCAGGCAATAGGCAGACCGAGCAGGCGGGACGCGTTGATGTATTGATTTTTTATCGTACATCAGGTGACGCGGTTATTTAAAAAGTTGTTACAATTCACTCCCTGAATCAGATGGTGTAGTATCGTGTAGCACACCAAGAAAGTAATGCTCCCTCAAATCTAGCCACAATGGCATACCTCCAGGCTAATCAAAAGCTCTTACGAGTACTTAACTATTGCCGAGAAATAAATTTATGAGTGGTTGTTAGAGACAATGAGGTTGGAACTTTTGTCTGGTTCGTCGGATCTCGTGATACATGGTGCGCAGTTTTGTGATTTGCCTGGAGATTCTCCCCCATGATCTTACTTACCTGACAATCACAAGTTGATGAAGTGCATATGGTCTACTCATGACACTATCACAAGTCCCCTGATTCGACCGTGGTAGTCATCAGGTCAAACTATACATGCTTTGTTCTGAGAAACACGTCCACAAGAAGTTTAGCAGGAACCGATAGTCCATACCGGTCAACTACATTCGCCTTGATTTTTTGACTACACTGAGAAAATAAGGCCTGATTCCAGATTGGCAGGTTCCCTCACGATGAATTCACTTCCGCAGCGAGCTAAATAGACAGAAAACCGAGGTTCGAGCCAGGATTGTTCTGTTGAAGTGCGAGCCACTGATGAGTCCACGAGCCCCACCTTCGGTTTATCTGATGAACTGGGCTTATCGCGGACCCACAGGAGCTCTTGCGGCGCCACCTCCGCGTTTTGTTCAAGCCAATGCAGGCGGATTGGCATGCATTGGCTATGTACCTTAAGTCCCACACCCACAACTCCGCGCCCCCCTAACTCCGCGCACTAAAATCGACGAACGAATAGTAGCGCAGAATAGTAGATAATATTAATTACTTACCTAATAGGGCTTATTCCAATAGAAATTCCGAGCACTAAGACTTAAACTTAGCTTCCTAATACTTAATAGGCGTTACTAACGGTATATAGAGGGCCTGCGCCTTTAATTAAGTAGCCTTAATAGCCTAGATATTAGTGAACCTTAAATTAGGCTCCTAGGCTACCCTCGTCTTCCTATAGGGCTTATATACCTCTAATTAAGCGCTTAATTAAGCTATTCGGAGGCCTGCTTTTACTATTTATATATCCTTAATATCTAGAGACTTCCCTATTTTTATAAATAAGCGCTACGTAGCTCGTATAGAGGCCCTTAGTATTATATAGATCCGAGATAGTATAGAATAGCTTAACCGTAGATCCTTCGCCCCTCGTAGCGTTTATAAGGCAAAGTCTATATATTTCTACCGCTTCTAAGGGGTCTTTAAGCGTATAGGATAGCCCTCGTCTATTATCTAAGAGCTTAAGAGAGGCTAAAGTGAACTCACCGGCTATAGGCTAGTTCTACGCCACCTACCTATAATATTGCTATATATAATAGCGTTACGCCTAGCCTTCTAATAGTAGAGAAGGAAGTTCCGTTTACTAATAGGCGATATATCGAGGAGGTAAACTACGCTCTTAAGATACTTCCTATATACCGTCTTAAGGGGGCTAAATATAGAGAAGTTAAGAGGCTACGTAATATAGTGTTACGACCTGGCAGCTTCCGAAGGGGGAACACTGTCAGAGGGTTGGGGTTGCTGTTTGCAGAAGCTTAGGTTGTGACTCTGAGACGATGTGGTGTCGTAAGGCGTTGCGCACTCGTTACAATGAATACAAGGTAAGACTTAGATTGATCACTGTCGTGAGAAGGAATGTATCTACAAGTCCAGAATGTCCGTCCTTATATACCTGCCATCCTGTCCTTGTTGTGTTAGGTGGTGAGCTCATGTTGGATGGCTCACTGTTATATCGTGATCCTCTTATGTTGGATCACGGCTCACGGTGATCCAAGCATAATAGTGATCCTTGGTCCTGGATCACTGTTTCCTGGTGATCCTGTCACGTGACCTAGCCTTGGCAAGCCTTATCTTATCAGTGACCCTGGATCTTCTGACGTGGGGTTTGTCTGCGGCCGGTTGTTCGACCCGTGCTTGTTACATGATACTCCTCCTTCAGGCCGATGTCCCAACGGCCATAAGTAGTAGGTCCTGCCCCAGATTCGGTTGGTCCGCAAACTCCTCTTTTACTAACCGTGACACGATGTCCAGTCGCATTCGAAAACCTCTATCGAAGAAAACCGTTGAGCGCGTCAACCTTGCGTCTTCAATCGAGTCGAAGGGTTCTGACGCGGACATGCCTTGTACCTGGTGCTTCCGGAAAGGTTTGAAATGTCGTATGTCGGAGAAGTCTGCGCGGTGCGGGGAGTGTGTGAAGCGAGGTCGTCAGTGCGACGGTGTTTTGGTGTCGTCTTCTCGTGAGTATCGTGTTTTCCGCTGGTCAGGTTATCGTGGCTGATGGTGGCTCAGTTGAGCGTCTTTCAAAAACCGAAAAGAAATTGGAAGATGACGAAGAGGCCGCGGAAGAAGCGCTGGCCAAATTGCAGGAGGATCTGTCGCACGCCGTGAATCGCTTGCGGCGGATTCGGCAGATCAAGAAGAAGGTGAAGGAGCGTAGTGACGAGGCGTTTCGTCGGGGTATCCAGGAGCTGGACGAGGAGGATAGCTTGCTTCCTGCTCTCAATGCTCATGAGTATTATGTGGAGAGTGATTTGGCGTTTATGGGGGTGACTTCCGACGCGGACTGGCCCTCTTTGGGTTTAGGGGAGTTGCCGGAGGAGTCTGGTGTTGGTGAAACTGCCTCAGCAGCTGCGGGCAGTTCAAGTTCCTGATTGGTTCCCATGTGTTTTCTTCGTGGCCGTAGTTCTTCCACTTAATGAGGTACTCGTCCTGGTTGTCCTTCGTTCTGTGGTCGATGATTCTTTCGACTTCGTATTCGTTTGTGTCTTCTACTTCCACGCTGGTTGCAAGTGGTGCGTTCGGTGGTGCTGGTTCTAAAAGTGCTATATGAAAGATGGGGTGAATCTTCATGTTCTCTGGCAATGAGAGGTGGTAGTTGGTATCCGAGAGTTTCTTGAAAATTTTGAAAGGTCCTAGTTTTTTGAAGTCCAGTTTGTCGTTTGGTCGTTTGGTTTTTATGTTTCGGCGGATAAGGTAGACGCTACCTCCCTCCTGTAAGGATGGTCCCTTCATCCTTGTTTTGTTGGCGTACGTGGTCATTCTGGTACGTACGAGCTCGAGGTCGAGCTTAATTTGGTCCTGAATCTTGCGGATGTTGTCCGCGATGTGGATTGCTTTTGGTGTGTCTGGCGCTTCGCGTCGTTCTGCGTAAGCTGTGGGGTTGTACCCGTAGTTGGCATAGAAGGGTGATTCCTTTGTTGACTCGCTTGGTGAGCTGTTGTATGCGAACTGTGCGATGGGTAGTAATGTGACCCAGTCATCTTGTTGGTAGTTGATATAACACCGAAGGTACTGCTCTAGAGTCTGGTTCGTTCTTTCTGTCTGTCCGTCTGTCTGCGGGTGAAAAGCCGTGGATAGCTTATGTTTGGCTCCAAGTTGAGCGATGAGTGACTTCCAGAAGTTGCTGGTGAAGAGCTTGTCTCTATCTGACACCAGTTCTTTTGGGAGTCCGTGTTGTCCCACAATGTTCCTGAGGAACACATAGGCGAGGTCTTCTGCCGTTCCTGTGGCTTTATACGGGAGAAAGTAGGAGTACTTGGTGAGTCGGTCGACGACTACTAGGATGTTGTCGTAAGAGGTCCCAGTTAAGGGTTCCTTCGATGGTGGCAGGCTGGTGATGAAGTCCAGTGAGACTGACTCCCAGGCTGCGGTTGGTACTGGTAGTGCTTTGAGTTCTCCATAAGGCCTGTGCCTTTCTGCCTTGCTCTTTTTGCAGAGGTTGCAGTTGCGGATGACTGTTGTGACGTCCTGTCTGGTTCCTTTGAAGTTATGGTGTTTCTTAAGTCGAGCGAAGGTCTTCGCTACTCCTTGGTGCCCGTGGGCCTTGGCTTCGTGGACTTGTCGAATTAGTTCCAATGCTTCCGTAGGTGGCCTGGCGGGTGTCACGCGAGTGGTGACTGCCAGCGTTCGGTGGTACGGGATTAGATTTCCTTCTTTGTCGCTTGCGAGGATTGCGTTATTGTTTGGGGGTGTGGTTTGTTCGTGGTCTGAGCGTCTGCTCAAGATATCTGCCCTGCCATTCTCAGATCCTTTGCGGTAGATGATGGTGAAGTTGAATTCCGAGAGGAATTCCGCCCATCTAATCTGTCGTTTGTTGAGGTCTTTGTTCGTTGTGAAGTGTGCAAGATTCTTGTGGTCAGTGTAGACCTTGACTTCGTGTCGTGCTCCGGAGAGATACGTTCTCCATTCTTTGAAGGCTTCGATGATTGCCATGAGTTCTTTGTCGTGTATCTGATAGTTGAGCTCTGGTCCGTGTAGCTTTTTCGAGAAGAATGCTACTGGGTGCAATCGTCCTTGGTCGTCCCTCTGGCCTAACTGTCCTCCAATGGCGAAGTCGGAGGCGTCTGTCTCGACTTCCATGGGTTTTTCGGGGTCTATCATCCGGAGGACTGGCTCGCTGAGGACGGCGTCGATGATTTGGCGAAATGCTTTTTCTTGGGGTTCGTTCCACGCGAACTCTATTTCCTTGACCGTGAGGTTTGTCAAAGGATTGGCGGTCTTGCTGTATCCTTTTAGGAATCGTCGATAGAAGTTGACGAAACCGAGGAATGCTCTGACGTCCTTGACGTTTTTTGGTGTAGGCCATTCCCTGATGGCTGCCACTTTGGATTTTTCCATCCTGATTTCTCCTGGGGTGATCGTATACCCTAGGAAATCTACTTCCTGTGTGTGGAACTTGGCTTTTTCTGGTTCTACTAACAGTTCGTGCTGGTGTAGTCGTGTGAGGACCTGGTGGACGTGTCCCTTGTGCTCTTCCATCGTCTTCGAGAAAATCAGAATGTCATCGAGGTACACTACCACGAAGACGTCCAGGAATTCTCGCAGTACATCGTTGATCATGTTTTGGAAGGTTGCGGGGGCGTTGGTCAATCCGAACGGCATGACCAAATACTCGTAGTGTCCTCGTCGTGTTCGGAATGCTGTTTTCCATTCTTCTCCATCCTTGATGCGGATGAGGTTGTATGCTCCTTTGAGATCGAGCGCTGTGAACCAATTGGCTCCTGCTAATGCGTCCCTGAGTTCTGATATCAGAGGCAATGGGTAGCAGTTCTTGATGGTAATGTCGTTCAACTGTCTGTAGTCGACGCATAGTCTTTCCTTGCCATTCTTCTTTGGCACAAAGAGAATCGGGTATCCTGCTGGGGATGTCGATGGTCGGATGTATCCTTTTCTGAGGTTCTCCTTGAGATACTCGTCGAGAGTATCCATCTGTCGAGGGTTTAATCCGTAGATCTTGTTAAATCGGGGGCTCTCCCCTTCCTTGATTGGGATTTCGTGGTCGTAGTGTGTGTGCTTAGGTAGCACCGTGTCGACTTCTTCCCTGAAGATCTTTTCGTACTTCCAGTATTCCTTGGGTACGTTCTGCAGTCTTTCTTGCTGTTCTGTTGTGAGCTCCTCCGGGGTTGTCTCCTCTGAGTTGTCCCTATTCGTGAGGGCTAGTTGGAGGTCGCTTGAGAGACCGCTCGTGGGTCTTTCCTCAGGGGCTGACGTACTCCACTGGACGCGGCCAGCTGTCCAGTCAATCTGAGGGTTCCATTCTCTGAGCCATGGGATGCCTAGGATGATTTGTTTTCCTCCCATGTTGGTGATGTCGAAGGTTATGTGGCCGGGTCGGCGAGAAATGAATACCTGGAGGGGCGCAGTCTCCGTATTCACGATTCCTCCTCCGTACGAGACCGCTTGTCCCTCCACCGTGCTGAGCTGATAGGGTTCCTCCTTATATTTCCAGCTGATGTGGTTCTTGTTGATATATTCGGGGCTCATGTAGTTGCCCTGGGCGCCGCTGTCTAATAGCGCGCTCGCCCATCTTCCTCCTACGTTTATTCGTACGTAGAGGTGGTTTGTGCCGTGGGTTCGTTCGGCTGAGCAGATTGCTCTTACTTCCTTCGTCGGTCGTTGTCCCTGTTCGACCGACGCTTGCCTTTTCCCGAAGAGGGTGGCGTAGTGGGTGGCCATGTCATGGATGGTCCGTCCGAGTTGTCGTTCATCTCGTCGCTCTTGTAGTGGACGCGGAAGAGTGGCTTCCTGACGTCCTTCATGCGATGGAGTCTCCAATCTCTGGCTTTGGCGATGTAGTGCTTCATGCACGCGTCATTATCGCAGTCCTCCCATCTGGCGTTGTCTTGGTAGCATTTGTCGTGATAAGCGGGGTCTGGTCGGAACGTGAGCCGACCCTGACTGTATTCGTCCATGTGTAGGATCCATTTGCGACTCTCCTGTCCGAACTCTACCTTCACTCGTGGCTCGATCCAGTGATTGCGCGGGAGAAACCGGTGTGCGGCCTTCTCCTTGAAGTGGTATTCACAGTCGTCGTAGACGCATTCGGGCCAGAACAACTGGTAGTGTTGTTCGTGGGCGTGGTGAAGTGCCGGGTGGTCTCCTACCATGAGTCGTACGTTTTCTTTGGTGCTTTCTCGCTTTCGGGTGCTGGCCTTCCATGGTTTGGTCCCGTAGTAGATGAGTTCGTTCCATGGTACCAGGGGGTCATAGTCCTCGCTGGCGCTGCTAACTTCGTATGCCTGCATAGGCATGTGGGGTTGGGTCTGTCCGAGCGGAGATTCTTCTTCGCTGGCTCGTGTGTATTCATCCCATTCTGTGTCGTTCATCAGTCCTACGTGGGGAGCTGATTGTGGTTCTGGGTGAGCATGTTCGTAGGCTCTTTCTTCGTCTGTATCGATTTCCTGGGTCTCCGGCGTTACTTGCTGGGCCCATTTCTGAATTCGTCTTTCCTTCCTGGTGGTGACCATTATGGCCAGGGTTCTTTGTCCCGTAGGTGCCCTGGGGAACCATCCATTCTGTTCCTTACTGTCTTTGTGGGTCAGGCAATCGTCCTGGTAACAGAAGGTCCAGTTAGTTTTGGCATGGTCCTGGTGTTGAGTATGGTTGAGCTGTCGTTCGTTTACGGGTTTCCAGGGCTTCTTAGGTTGCCGGCATTCTCGAGCCATATGCCCGTTTTTGCCGCAGTTGTAGCATTTCATGTCCTTGAGATCCTTCGGTTTGCCATGTCTGGTATTGTCGAGCTCCATGGGTCCTGCATGGGTGGTCTGTCCCCAAGCCGTGCTGACGCGGGGTTTGTCGTGCTGGTACTTGCGTCCTTGATTGGATCGGTGGTGGGGAATGCGAGGGTTCCATGGTCCTATAGCGGGCTTTCGTCCCTTTTCTATTCTGCGTTCGTACTGGCGATCGTCGATTTTGACGGCCATGGCGATGTACTCGGTGAGGGTTTCGGGTCTATCCTCCCGGATGAGGTCGTCCTTGACGGCGTCTTTGAGTCCTTCGTAGAAACGGGCCATGAGAGCGGACTCTGTCCAATCGAGTCGACTGGCTAAGAGTCGAAACTCCGTGGCGTATTTAGTGGCTGGCCCCGTCTGTTTGAGCTGAAGGATTTTTCTTTCGTTTTGTCGTTCCTCGTCCACGTCCCCAAACGCTCCTTTAATGGCTTCTTCGAATGCGTTCATACCGGCGTAGATGTCCTGGGTGGCCTGCTTCATATCTTCTTTCTTGGTGTGGGTGGAATAGTCCCTAATGAAGGGTTCGAACCAGTGCAAGGCGTCCCCTTTGAGGTAAGAGGAGGCGTTGGCGACCTTCTCGCCCCAGTACTTGAGTTGGCCCTCATTGGCTTTGTGGTACTGGCGTACCTGGGTGATGAAAGATTGAAGTGCCCTAGGGTTGCCGTCGAATGACTGAGGGGGAAGAGCCTTCATGCTCGTTCCGCCTTGAAGTTGCTGCATCGAGGCTCGTAGCTGCTCGTTCTCTGAGCGGAGCTCTTGGATCATAGCGGCCAGGTTGCTGGCGCTGTTTCCGACGCTGTTGGTGGACATTGTTCCTGTGGTGAGTATTGCTCAGTGTCACAAGGTAAACCTACTGAACAAGAGTGATCAAAATGTTACGACCTGGCAGCTTCCGAAGGGGGAACACTGCCAGAGGGTTGGGGTTGCTGTTTGCAGAAGCTTAGGTTGTGACTCTGAGACGATGTGGTGTCGTAAGGCGTTGCGCACTCGTTACAATGAATACAAGGTAAGACTTAGATTGATCACTGTCGTGAGAAAGAATGTATCTACAAGTCCAGAATGTCCGTCCTTATATACCTGCCATCCTGTCCTTGTTGTGTTAGGTGGTGAGCTCATGTTGGATGGCTCACTGTTATATCGTGATCCTCTTATGTTGGATCACGGCTCACGGTGATCCAAGCATAATAGTGATCCTTGGTCCTGGATCACTGTTTCCTGGTGATCCTGTCACGTGACCTAGCCTTGACAAGCCTTATCTTATCAGTGACCCTGGATCTTCTGACGTGGG